CTGGAAAGGCAATTCAAGCTTTTATGTAAGAGGAGACACTTCCTTTGATGTCCTTCAGCAATGCGGGTTGATACAAGCCTCCTGGGTTTGTCTGAGTTCCCAGTGGCACTGCCGGCTCAGAGGAGAAGACCAGACTCTGTTTTTGGCCGTGTCTAACCGAGTTGAATGGAGGCATGTAATTGTCTGTTTGTATGTTGTTTAAGAAAGAGGATCTGAATGAGCTGTCAGTGTATGAATTAAATAGCCTGCCTTGTCTGGCTTCTATAAAAGGGGCATAAAGGAGAAGATATTCAGGTGAATGTCACCTCAGAGGCCATCTTTTCAAGCTTAATTCCATCATCTAGTTAGCAACATGGCAAACGGTGGCACTGGAATGAGCCTGTGGTACTACAGTTCTTATCACACTCCTTCAATGAGTTTTCAAAAGATTTTCAAGGGGCTGGAAAGGTTTCTCAGAGGTTAAGAGCACTGGTTGCTCTAACAGAGGACTCAGGTCCCATTGCCTGCACCCAGATGGTGATTCACAACCATATGTAACTTCAGTTCCTGGTATTGGATGCCCTCTTCTGACCTCTATGGGCATTGCGTGTGCGCGCGCACACACACACACACACACACACACACACACACAAAGACCCATAAGAATAAATCAATTAATTAAAAAAATATTTTCAGTGACTCACACACCAAGAGTGAGTTAAGTAAACATCCAACTGGCAGAAGGAGCAGCACTTAGATAATGGAACGTTTTAAACAACATTACTTTGGTCTCTAGAGAAAAATTAAGCAAGTTTCTGGATATGGTTAGAATTAGAATAAATTTTTCATTATTGACATACTCCTAAATTTTAGAAATAACTATTGACTAATACAAATACATTTACCAGTCAAAAATCATCATGTAAAAAATACTGCTAATTTGTGCCAGGCGTGGTGACTCAAATCTCTCTTCTTGTCATTGGGGAGGTAGGGATAAGAGGATCAGGAGTTCAAGGCCAGTTTTAGCTACATAGTGAATTCAAATTCAATCTGGACTATTTGAGACCCTGTCTTAAAAAGTCAAAATAAATAAATAAATAAACGAGTCCCTGTAGAAAGCAATAGTTTAAATAGTCTAAAATATATTCAAAAGGAAAATTAATTATTTTTCATTCACTGATGAATAAAATATGATATTTTTGTGGTAAAATTAAATTTGATTTGGCATTTTGATTTTTGTTTATGTGTGACTATGTGAAGGTACGCCATAGTGTGCTCCGGCCTAAAGAGGCCAGAAGAGGGCATCAGGTTCTCTGGAGCTTAGTGATGGTGGTGAACCACCAACATGGGTACTGGGGGTCTGACTCAGGTTCTCTGGGAGAGCCACAAGTGCTCTTAGCTACAGACTCAGCTCTCCAGACCCTGTACTGGATCTTCATGGGGCAAAATACATGTAGATACATTTTATAAAGTGAAGTGATAGAAGCCTAGGGTATTGTTGTTGCTACTATTAGTCCTATGTCTATTGCTCACAGGTCCAGCATCTGCTTGGCATTATTAAAAAGTATTAACTGTGGTTACGTGGGACCATCACCTCTTATTCCCAAACCAAAAGAGATGCTCTGCAAACATTCTTACTACTGTGTCCTGCTTGTAATTATTTCTTAAATGCTGTTCGTTGGGCTATTCCTTATTCTGTGTTCTACTCTTCAGTTCCTCCAACTTTCTCTTCCGAGGAAAGCATGTACGTTACATGGCTGCTCACTGGGATGTATGTGTAAGTGCACGGCATGTGCTTGCCTATGTAGAGGGTGGGAACTATCTCTGACAGGGATGGTGGCTCAGGTCTTTTGTCCCAACACTCAGAAGGCTGAGCCAAGAGGACTGTTACAAATTCAAGGCCAGATTGGGCTTCTTAGTGAGTTCCAAGCCAACAAGGGTTAAAGACTCTGTATTTAAAGAAAGAAAGAGGGAAGAAAAGAAAGAGAAGAAAAGAAAAAGAAATAGAAACCCATCAGTCTTGCCTTTAACTACACTCATGCATTTATTTTCTACATAGAGCCAATGGGTGTTCCGCTATGGATTTTATAGCAGAAGCCAATAACCATTGAAAAATAGTGCAAACGAGAAACTGTAAGACAAAGGTGAATGCTTGGTATTTTCAGGATTAATTACATTTTTATCTGGAAATGTTTGTCCTTAACTCATGTTTAGTTTGGTGTTTTCTAAACTATGTTAAATTTGTTTGTTCTTACCATAGAGTAATGTAGTTAAGGGCTGCATGAAGTAGGAAGCTAATTTTAACCCTGAATCTCTACCACCTTCCTAAAGATTCAGGAGAGAGAATACAGAGTAACACTAGACGGGTGGAGTTTTACACTCTTCTGCATTACTATCAGAAGGAAAACCCGGGAAGGGTGAGATCTCTCACCGGCACCAGTCTGCAAATGCCGTGTTGCAGAGCAGATCTGGGATGTCCCCCCTGGGTTCAGGTTCAGGCACCACAGCTGGCTGTGGAAATTTTAAGGGGAGTGGTCAGGTGGGAGGTAGGGTGTGAGGGGTGCACACACTCCATGAGGATTCTGGGACTGCAGCCTCTACCTTCTCCTCCAACCATGAAATAATGATTTTGCTCTGCCAGTTCCCCTCCTACCACAGGCCCAAAGCAGCCAGACCAACAGATGAGGAACTGGATCCTCTCAAACTGTGAGCCAAAAGCCAACCTTTCTCTTTATGAGTCTCAGGTGTTTTGTTACAGTGAGAGAAACTGCAACAGTGACAGACACAGGCACACATTTTACATAGTCAGCATTCACCCCTTCCTTCACGCTCCATTTCCACAGCATTTTCTTTAAAAATAGAAAAGCAGAGATATGTTGCACCATGCCTGGGGACGCTTGCACAGCAACACAGGGTGTCACCTCAGCACTCAGCATGCTGCCTAAGCAGGTTAAAGGACTGACTTTGTGGTTGCTGTGCTCCGGGGGAATATGACCTTTGCACATGAAGGAATAAGAGAAGGAAAGCAGGGAGGGAGGGAGGAAACTGGATTCCTTGAACGAACTTGTTTCGTGAAAAGAAAATATGGAGTGGATCTAGAGTATTTTGTTAGCAAAAAATAAAGATGGGGTGTTAGAAAGACTACAGTAGAATAATAAGGGGTTCCTACTGCCACACCGTACCAAATTTTCCATAAAATCATCACTAATTGACAAGGATGGGAAAACAATAGAAAGCAGTAATAGTCAGGCATGGGGGCACATGCCTTTAATCTCAGCAATGGAGAGGCTGAGTCACCGTGCATCTTTGTGAATTTGAGGACAGCTTGGCCTATGCAGTGAGCTCCAGGTCAGCTAAGGCTACATAGTTATACAACGTCTCAAAAATTTGAAAAAAATGTTAGCAAAGATGGGGCCAGTGAGATGGCTCAGAACTCAGAGATGGTAAAGTTACTTCTGTCAAGCCTGAGTTTCATGGTGGGAGGAGAGAACTAGCTGTCCTCTGACGACCCGTGTGTGTGTGTGTGTGTGTGTGTGTGTGTGTTTGCGCGTGTGCGCTGTGATGTGTGTATGTGTGCATGAGTGTTGGCGTTCATTACACATGCACGTGCATGTGCACACACGCAATCAATCAATCAATAAGTAGATGTAACAACGTGAAAGAGCTATGGCATAAGCAGGAGGGGCAGATAATCATATCATAGCACAGCAAGGAGAAAGCAAAGCCCACCCACTCATTCCCATGGAGAGTTATACAAACTCATATAAAGAGTCCAGTGTTACGTTCTCAGATGACAACTTAGCTGAGTGTCAATTCCTCTCCCCCAGGAGAGAAAACCCACACACTTCCAGTCTCCTCTCTTCCTGAGGAATAAAATGCCCAGATGAACCCACTAACAAGACATTGGTAAGACCTAGTGGACTCCAATTACACCAGAGGTCAACATTTCCTAGGGACAGAAAGGTAAAGCAGGATGAAACATCTCTGCCCAGCTTCTGATAAAGGCACAATGTTTCAGACGAGGTGTTTTAAGACATAGGGATATAATTTTCCTATGACCTATGAAATTTGTAATAAAAGGGACTTAAACAGTGAGGAAACCACAGGACCCACATCCTGTCCCAACCAAGAGATTTAACAATTTAGAACTTACAGTGCCATCAAGTTTTTTTTTTCCTGGAGGGAGGGTGGTTTCTGGAAAAGCTTGTAAAATTCTAAGAATATGTGAATTTTGTAGGTTGCAGATAACATTTATTTTTTTAAGGAAAATTGATGCATTGAATTTGTGATTATCAAGTTCTTAAAGGTATTCCATGCTGCATCACTCCTTGAATAAGGAGTTTGCCTTCTTAAACTCATACATTTGAGCCACCTGGCTGAGTAGGTTGTATTGTGATTATTTAGAGAACTATGAAAGAATTTAAAGAAATATTGCTCATGCCTATAATTCTAGTACACTGGAGGCTGAGGCAGGGGACTTGCTATGAGTTTGAGGCCAGCCTGGGTTACATAGAAATTTCTAGATCATTCTGGACTACCCTGCCTCAAAACACTAAGCCAAACCAACTAAACAAAGTCTAAATCAATAAATATTGCTATGAATCAAAATGTGGAATTGTAAACTTAATGAATACTTTCTTATCTAAATAAATAAATATTGCTCAATAAATTAGGATTATTAAACTGAACATTAAAAAATACATAAATGACTATAAATATTCCCTCAACTGCAAATATCCCTTCTCAAGCACAACAGCACATTAAAGAATGAATCCCAACTTGCCATCCCAAAAGACTGATAACCATTACAACACACTGTTATTCAAGCAAAGGTGCCACATGTTAAATCTTAACTATGCTGACTGTACTGTGTGGGCTTGATGCTGGATCGCCCCACTCTGCGAATCTTAGCTGTGCAGATTGTGCTGTGGCGGGGGCTTTATTTTGGACCACCTTACTTGAGTGTTGAAAACTTCTGCTTCCCCAGCTTCATTGCCAACCCAGAGCTGTGAGATCCAGACCTTTGGCTCCATCTGTCTTTCCTCCTAGGTTGGAATTATCATCTTTTGTCGAATCCTTCAGGGTTCCATATTCCTTTTCCATCTTGGCGGCTTCTTGCTTGGTGCTGTCTGTTTCTTCGTGACTCTTCTCTGACGGCACTGTGACCAGATAGCGCATTGCGGTTATAACACTATTTCCTACCCCCCTTAATTCTTTTTTTCATTACTTTTTAAAATTTCATTTGGTTTTCCGAAACAGGGTTTCTCTGTATTGTTTCCGAGGCTGTCCTGGAACTAGCTCTTGTAGACCAGGCTGGTCTCGAACTCACAGAGATTCGCTTGCCTCTGCCTCCCGAGTGCTGGGATTAAAGTCGTGTGCCACCACCGCCCGGCTCACCCTCCTTAATTCTTAATGAAGAACATACTTTATTGAAAAGATACAGTTTGAGGTCATGTTACAGTGTTTGAACTGAAAGGGATCTCAGTGGTTGCCTAATCCAACCCTCCACCTTCATTTCACAGAAGAGGAAACTGAGGCCCCGGGAAGGAGTGCTCAGGGTCACCCACTGAGTGACTAAGAAGCTGGAAGTTGAAATGGTTAAAGCATAAGAATACACAGCCTGAAATCTTTTCTCTTTTTGTTCTTCCTACCCTCCTGAGAGGAAGATTCTTCACACAGCTGTGACATTTGCTGGGCGGAGCAGGGCTATGGGCGGAAGAGAAACACAGAAAAGGGGCACATTGTGGAGGAGCACAGAGCATCCCAGAGGGTGGGGTGATCTGGTGGGGCAGGGGAGAGGCAGTGGGGAATGACAGATGGCCTGGGATGGTGGTCTCAAGAAGTGGTAAGAAAGCAATGTGAATGGAGGCTTTTTAATCAAGGGTTCACTCAGTTTCGTAGTCAGCCACCTCTAAAGGTTCTTTGTTACATACCTACATTACTTTTTAGTGCAGACCTAGAGGTGTGGCTCTGTGGTAGAATGCTTGCCTTCCACACTGAGGCTCTGAGTTCAATTCCCAGCCCAGCAAATTAAAAGACCCCAACAAAAGACCTTTTCCAAGCTTTTGGCAATATGAATTCTCTGCCATGACAGGCTATAAAGTAGCCAAAGTTTCATGTGGTTATTCTTATGGTTGAATTTGAGATCTTAAAATGTTTTGAAATCTGTAATGCTCTATTAATGCTTATTGAAGCTCATCATTTACCACTAAAACCAGCTATTCTTTTAACAACTAGGAAAAACAAAACCCACCACAAGTCAATCCTACCTGGATAAAGCTTGCTTTTGCTGTCAGTAGAATTGTTTTCTAGCTTGTTCTTGGTCTGCAGAGCAATTGCTTCATCCAAGTTTTCTAGAAAGAAGAGGAAAAGAAATATGCTTTATTTAATTTCCCGAGAAATGACATTAAACCTCCCATATGTGCTGATCATAGGTGTGGGCCGCAACTCCTGTCTTATTCATTTTTTTTTAATTTCCTTTCAAGCAGAGTCTCATTCTGTCCTAGGCTAACCTATACTTTCCCTGCAGCCAAGGCTGGCTTCCAATTCCTTTTTAATTCTCCTAACCCTAGCTTCCCTAGTGCTGAGACTACAGGCTTGAGCCACCATGCCTGGCCAACTGGCTTAGCTAGTAAGCACTTAATTTTAATGACTTGTCACTTAGTAGTGGTTAGTGGTTACCATGTAGGACACTTGGTTTCAGGTAGCAGCAGGAACAGCTGCTTACACATAAGCCATTGCAGTATCTTTGATTTACTTCCATAGGAGAAATAAAAGCACAGAATTCCCCGGTTACACAGTTGACACTGTTCTGAGCAATGTCTACTCTACTGTTAGAACAGTGGTTCTCAACCTGTGGGCTTCAACCCACTTGGGGTCACATATTGCATATCCTGCACATCAGATATTTTTATAGTACAATGTATAAGGACAGCCTATGGATGTGCAAACAACCGTTTTACAGGGGTCACCTAAGACCATCGGAAAACACATATGTTTACGTTACAATTCATTACAACAGTAGAAAAATTACAAAGAAATAATTTTATGGTTGGGGGGTCACCACAACATGAGGAATTAATTGTAGTAAAGGGTCACAGAATTATGACAGCTGAGAACCACTGTGTTAGAGGAATAGAATTGGTTGAACAGTACCAATTGTAACATGAACACACTTCTTTTTATGACAAAGAACATAGGTATGCACACATATATACCTACACAGATGTCTGGAAGACTTTAAATTAAAATGTCATGAGGGGATTGGCACGGGGAGTGATTTTAACTCGCTGTCACATCTCTCTCTCTTTCTCCTTTCTTTCTCTCTCTCTCTCTTTCTTTCTTTCTTTCTTTCTTTCTTTCTTTCTTTCTTTCTTTCTTTCTTTCTTTCTTTCTTTCTTTCTTTCTCTCTCTTTGCCTTGAATGACTTTTAAAATGAAATAAGCTCTTTTATAATCAAAATAAAACCAGTAAGACTGTTTCTATGTAGAAAAACCCCAGGTTCCTGCTGAATAATTTCGGATCATGCTAATCAATGGTATTTCTTCATCTATTTGTTTCTCTTTGCCCCAGCAAAGTAAGAGGCTAAGGTCACCTTGCCCAAAGCACATGGTGGTGAAACATACTCAGGGTAACAAAAGCCCTTAAAAAGTATCAAACAATTGAATATTTGCAGTGTGTAACTGGGAAGCCACAGTCTACCTTTTCAAAAGGTACATTTATTTATATGCATGGATATTTTGTCTGAAGGCACGTATGTGCACCATGTGTGTGCCGGATAGTTTTATGTCAACTTGACACAAGCTAGAGTCATTTAAGAGGACGGGACCTCAATTGCAAAAATGCCCCCAAGAAACTGGCCTGCGGGCCAGCCAGGGCTGCGTTTTCTTGACTCATGATTGATATGGAAGTGTCTGGATCACTGTGAATGGTCTCACCCCTGGGTAAATGGTCCTGGGTGCTGTAAGAAAGCAGGCTGAATAAGCCAGAAAGAGCAAGGCAGTAAGCTGCACCCCTCCATGGCCTCTGCATCAGCTCCTGTTTCCAGGTTCCTGCCCTGACTTCCCTCAGTGATGGAGTGTGACCTGAGAGTTGTTTCATTCTTCCTTTTACGGGTATAGGAAGTAAAGCCTTGCAAAGAGCAGGACCTCCCCAGCATAGTAGAGTAAGGCTCCTGCTTCCCCAGCTGGTACTCTTTCTGCTTGCTACATACAGTACTCAGAGGGGAAACTCAAGACTTAATCCAGTCTTCTAAACACTAGTTAAAAAAAAGTTAATGAGTTAAAATGTAATAAAATTGCTCTCGGGAGATTATCTGAAAACACTAATAAGGTTTAATATAAAAAATGTGGAAGATTTTTCTTCAAGCTGTATTTATTAAGATGAAAAGTAGAAAATGTCTAATTAATTTTATTTGTATGCATCACTAAGCTGAGCAATTCTGTTTCCCTGGAGATCTGAGCTGCTCTAGCATAAATCATCAAATTGGTGAGGTGATTATTGCCAGATCCTTAATTTGCTTTGAACAAAACAAAACAAAACAAAACAACAACAACAACAACAAAAAAAACGGCCATGGTAAAAATAAAGAAGAATCCTTACCAAGGTAGGAAACTCCTTCTTCTGGAGATATTGTGCCATATTTAACCATCATTTTCACAAAATCAATCAGTGTCTTCATGATAGTGATCAGGGTTTCTTTCTCTTTTGCTTCTTTTTCTATGTTAAAAGAACAAAATAAATAACTCCAAGATTTTATTTATATTACTTTATGTGTGCATGGGTGCTTTGCCTGCATACCGGTTTGTGGATCACGGGCATGCAGTGCCTGCAGAGGCCAGAAGAGAGTGACAGTCCCCCCGGAACTGGAGTTACAGAGGACTGTGATCACAGTGTGGGTGGGAAATTGAACTTGGGTCCTCTGGGAAAGCGGTCCATGCTCTTAATTCCTGAGCCATCTCTCCAGCCCCCATGGGAACAAAAATAATTTAAAGACAACTAATAGAAAATGGTTTTATTTATGAAGTAAAGCATAATTATGGAAATATCTCCCCCTTCACTTACAATGAATCCCACAAACATTTAACTTAGAAAAAAAACCCCACAAAAACTAAGACCCAATTGGGAATATAGGGAAGTTTATAGCTAAACAAAACTGCTCTTAGAAATGAGCACGTTTTAACTCTCCCGTGGGACTTTAATTTCATCTGAAATATTGTAGTAATAAAATAGACAGTAAAGAGATCGCTTCTGGGGCTGGGATAACAGCTCAGTTGGTATAGTGCCTGACTAGTGTGTAAAAGGCCCTCCAGCACTGAATAAACCAGATACGGTGACACATGCCTTTGTCCCAGCATTGGGGAACTAGAGGCAGGAGGATGAGAAGTTCAAGGTCATCCTTGGATACAGAATTTGAGGTCAGCCTGGCCTGTATGGCTAAAAACAAAAACAAACAAACAAACAAACAAATCTGAAAGGTAAAACAAATAAATAACATTCCTCACAGTGGAATTTTAAAAATACCATAAAACTCACAGGTTGCTGAGTTAGGGAGATCCTAAAAAAATGTGACAAATGGCTCTTGCTATGCTTTGATCAAGGGTATGCCTGTATATTTAGCACTTGCTGACGCTCTTCAAGGATTGGAAGTGACTCACTAGGATGACACAGGCTCTGAGCTGGTCATTTGCCAACCAATGGGGCAAGATGGCTCAGAGCAGATCCTCCAGACACAGCCTTGCAGATTCAAGCAGAGAGGCCCATACCATCTGGCCAGTGTCTGGTTCTGAAGGACAAACAGAATTCTCTGGGGATGGAAGCTCATCTATGATCGCTTTATGGAGGAAACAGATTACAACTGTAGAAATTTTACACAATTGTTCACTTGAGGGTTGCAACAGGGACAGGGAAAGCCATTGGGGCAGTGTGGGGCATCTGCCTGAACAGTAACAGAACAGCTTAAGACTATCATCATTTGCAGATTAACTAGAAGCAAACAGGAGCCAAAGCCTACAGACAGTTCAGTACACATGTGACTGTAGAGATTGGGAAGGACTTGTTTAATAAAGCACAATTTCCCAAATGTGTTTGGACTCTGGACTTCCTTTCATTCAATGCTCATGTGAACTCACCGGAAAACCAAAGCAGAAAATATCTAGTAAGCACTGTCTTGAATAATTTAGAGGTGAACAAGGTGAACAAATAAGGTTCCCACTAAGAGAGGAAAATGAAAGCTTTGCAAAAGATTTAATACCTGATTTTGGCAGGATTTTCTCTTGATGCTTTGTGTTTGACAATGTACCTAGGAAACACACTAGGTAAAACAAGCCAGACACAAAGACAGATACAGCATTCTCTCAGTTCCAAACCCGAGGTTCATTATCCATGGATTCAACTAACTGAGGATCAAAAATACTGAAGAAAAGAATGTGACTGCATTTTTGCTGAGCATAGACAGGTCATTTTCTTGCCATTATTCTTCAAGCAATACAGCAGAACAACCATTTGCACAGCACTTCTGTTGTGGTAGGCATTGTAAGTAATTCAGACATGATTTAAAGTCTACGGGAGGATGTGCGATGATTGTGAAAATACTATCTCCCATCCAACTCCCCCTCCCACCCTCTCTCTTTCTCCACCCCCTTGCTGTCTCTCTCTCTCTCTCTCTCTCTCTCTCTCTCTCTCTCTCTCTCTCTCTCTCTCTCTCTCTCTCTCTCTCTCTCTCTGTGTGTGTGTGTGTATGCCCTGTATATGTGCATGCACGCTTCCTGTATGTGTGTGCCCTGTGTGTGTTACAGGTAATCAGACTCAAGCCTTGGACATGTTAGGCAAGCACTCTACTTCTGAGCTTCAGCTGCAGTGTTTGTACCCTTTTATGTAAAGGACTTGAGTATGTGTGGATTTTGGTATCTGGAAGAAGTCCTGCACCTCCTTTATGCCTAACATAAAGAAAGACAACTGTATGTGGAATTTAAGATGGCTAAGGTTATAGAAGTAGAGAGAAGAATGCTATTGCCTAGTACTGGGTAAAACTGGGAGATGCTGGCCAAAGGTATCAAGTTTCTGTTCTATAGTGTGAATAATCTGAAGTCTGTACACAGTATGACTGGCAACACTGGATTGCATAGTTGAAACTTGCTAGGAGGCCATATTTTCACAATAACAGGAATAAAAAAGAAAAAAGAGACAGTGACAACTATATTTATGGGTGATAGACACATCATTGGCCTGGCATGATGATCATTTTACAATGTTGATGAGCACCAAAGCACCATGTTATATGCTATTGTATATAAGTGTGTGTGTGTGTGTGTGTGTGTATGTGTGTGTGAGTGAGTGTCTGTGTATCTGTCTGTTTGTGTGAGATAGGATCTTGCTATGTAGCTAAGGCTGGTCTCAAGCTCAAGATATAGATAGACCAGGCTAGACCCATACTCATGGTAATCCTTCTTCCTCAGCATCCCAAGAGCTGGGATTATAGGGGTATACATAGTAATTGCACTTCAATAAAACCGAGAACAGAACATTAGAGAAAGCTGAAGGGCCAGAGAGACAGCACGGGTGCTAAGAGCACTTGCTGCCAAGTCTGATGGCTTGAATCCCATCCCTAGGACCCATGCAGTAGAGAGAAAAAACTGATTCCAGCAAATTGTCCTCCGATCTTCACATGCGCACTGTGGCATACATGCCCCCACACAAAATGAATGAGCAAATAAATAGAATAAAAAAGGCTGATAACGAAAATGCAGCTATACTAAGAGCGCAGGCTGGTGGTGATTCATCTCAGCATGTGACAGATTTGGGTACCTGTACACAGCAGATGTTTCATAACTGTTTATTGAATAAATAAATGAACTGTCTGTTAACAAGATTAAATGACCCAGAAACTCCACATTCCCTGATTACTCTTTCCATGACTACTACACTGCTTTTGAAAAAAAAATGATGTGAAATGACTTTCCCAGCCAACAGTGTATGTCATAGAGAACTGCACTTGGGAGCCATGAACAGGAAGAAAACCACCCACACATTTCCAAGAATTACTGTCTCATTTCCCTTCCTCATGGTCCTAAAGCGGCGGTTACCTGAATCTATGCTTGTCAGTAGTGCATAGAAGTTGGGGAAATACTGGAGTTCCTCAAAGTCATCTTCACTGTGGGGGTTAGTTCTCCTTTCCAAGCCGTTCGACAAGGTCAAGGTGTTAGATACCGTTTCATCATTTTCTCTGTTAGTAAAGCCATCTTGAATTGCTGCCACAGGAATCTGCAGTGAGGGGAAAATAGCACCAGAAAGTAAACATTGTTTAGAACTGATGTAACTCCAGGTCAGTTCTCTCCTTTCGGATGACCTTGAATGTGAAGTCTCAGGGTTCCTCCTCCGTCACAAGGTCCTGCAGGTTCTAGCGATGAGCTACCTTGAGAAAACATCTTGGTGTGGCTCAGGAGACACTAGACTATGGTTCTGCTTTGGCCAAATTCGCCTTCATGAATCTTTCATTGAGGAGAGAGCTCTGATTTACACAGTGCATAGGGTGGAGTGGGGTGGATCGGAAGAGCGTTCAGACCGTCCATCAGTAACCGTACTTATTACATCTTTGAACTTCCAGGAGGCTTTTGTGTCTGGATGATACGTAATGTTTTTTCCCCTTCCTAGACCTGGTTGTGGTGAAAGCTCATTTACCATTCAGTAGATTAGACAGAATCTAAGAGATTTTTTCTGGCTTTATTTTTATTTCATTTCCCCACATTTTACCCATTAGTGTCCTTATTGGCTCTACTTTCAAATCTTATAGCAATTCCTACGTCTCTTTCTCCAGTAACCCATGTTAGTCCATGCAGCCCTTCAGCCCCCACTTTCTAACTGGCATAGCATTCATCTCAAATGTCTTCTCAATTCAGTGTCTCATGCCCTGTGGACCACGGTATCTTTCTAGCAGTGTGATTGCTTAAAATCTACTACAAGGAGGCCAGAGATGAATCTGGGTTGGTAAAAGTGCTTGCTTTATGAGCTCAAGTGCCTGGGTTTGCTCCCTGAACCCACATTAAAAATAAAAGCTGGGTCCAGTGGCAGCTACACACTTGTAATCCTAGTGCCAGGAAGATGGAAATAGTTGATGACAGCTAACTTATTTCGCTTGGTGAGTTCCAAGTCAGTGGGAGACCCTGTTTCAAAACACAAGGTAGTTGGTGCCTGATGAATAGCACCTGAGGTTGTCCTCTGGCCTTCACATGTGTGCATGCTGATATGTACACATGCCTATATGTAAGGATGCTCACATTTACACATGCATCTGTACACACACACACACACACACACACACACACATACACCCCTCCTATGGTTTGGATATGGCTTCTACCTGTCAAAAATCACATTGAAATTTAAATTGCTGAGGCTGGAGAGATGGTTCAGCAATTAAAAACATTGGCTGTTCTTCCAGAGGACCTGGGTTCAATTCCCAGCACCCACATGGCAGCTTGCAACTGTCTATAGCCCCAGTTCCAGGGGGATCTGACACCCTCACACAGACATACATGCAGTCAAAGCACCAATGCCATAAAATAAGAATAAATTAATTAAAAAATAAATTTAAGTTGCCAATGAAAAGGTATGACAGTATTGAAGCCAGGCGGTGGTAGCACATGAACGGAGACAGAAAAGTAACTATACACTGTCTTTCTTGAGAGACTGAGGCAAGACAGAAGACAGGGGAAATTAAAAGGACATGAGAAGGGAAGGGAACCCTCACTCTGTGATCTACTTTGGCCTTTTGGCTGACAGAGATAAGAAACTCCAACATAACAGATAAAGTCCAAATTGCTTACAGAGATAATGGCATGTTAATGACCCCTCAAAAAAGGGCATCAAAAGCAGCACACGCTGTGTTTATTTAATACTAGATGTCAAATTAACATCCCTCTCTCATCTCTAGCTCTAAACAATGCACCCCATAAAATGATCTTGCATTTCATTTACAAAAGGAAATCAACTTACATATTTTATTTTTAAATTTTACTTAATTGTAAGCTTGCTTAGTCTTTAAAAATTTTTATTTATTTATTTGTATATGTGTGTGTATGTCTGCCCAGTCATGTGGGTGGAAGTCAGAGGACAACTTTAGACACTCTCCACCACCTGAGTCACCTTGGTCATCAAGTTTGGCAGTAGGTGTCTTTATCCGCTTATTCATCTTATAGCCCCAGCTTGCTTAATCTTTTAAACATGAAAATTGCATCCTTTTTGCACTCTAACTTAAAAAGACACAAGGTCATAGACATAGCCATGGTAAAGACACATAAAGGTGACTTTCAGCAAGCCTGGACCCGTACATTAGGTGTGTACTGTCTTTTTTCCCTATGATTTTCTGTCTAAACAATTAATACATTTGCTAACTATGCTTCACTCTGGCTTGTTCTGGGATTCTTTTCTGGGCTGTAGCAAGGGTCTGGCTTCAGCTGAGTGGAGTCCCTAGATGAAAAGGTGCTTCTTGGGCTGCTGGTTGTGCCAGGCTGTGTCTCTCCACTGTTGACAAGACTGGGCTAGTTGTAGCAGCCTAGCTATTGTGTGTGTGACAGAGTGAGTTGTTAAAAGGTGACTGGCACCCCTCCCCCTCTTATGGATACATCTGCTTGTCCTTCTCCTTTCCCATCTCACAGGGCAAGCAACACATGGCCTCACCAGAAGCTGATCAGAAACTGTCCTATCTTGGACTTTGCACCCTCCAAGCTATGAGATGAATACATTTATTTTCCTTTAAAAAAACTCATTTATTTATTTTTATGTGAATGCATGTTTTGCTTGCATGTATGTCTGTGCACCAGGTGGATGCCTGGTAAAGGTGGAGGCCAGAGAGGACGTTGGATCCTCTGAGACTGGAGTTGCAGAAGGTTGTGAGCCACCAAGTGATTGCTGGGAATTGAACCTGGGTCTTCTGGAAGAGAAGTCAATGCTCTTAACTGAGGAACCATCTCTCCAGCCCTTATTTCTTTTCTTAATGAGTCATCTAGTCCCAGGTTTTCTTTTGTAGCAATGGGAAGTGGGCAAAGGCAAAGGCCTTCAGGATTTTACAGTAGGCGTGAGCTCCACATTGGCTCTCGAGGCTCTACAAGGTGGCTAGGTCTACGCCCCCTCTCATAGCACCACCTTCCTTTCTGTGTCAGCCACAAATCCTTGTTTCAGTTGCCTGGATACTCCACGCACATGACCTCTCCTGTTTACAAGTTAATCCTATTTGACTTTCAGTTCTCAGCTCAAATGGCTTCCTCAGGGAAGCCTTCTAAAGAAGGCTAAGTGCAGAACAGGCATCCTTTCTAAAAGCACTTGATGCAGTTGCCATTAGAATAATTACCGTTTGAAGATAATCTATGCTTTCCACTGGAACCTAACCTTGGTGGGAGGAGAGATTGTGTCGTTTTAAATTAGCATGGCATTCTTAGGACCACATTCAGTACTGTGAAAGAATATTTTATTTGCCCTAGTGCATTTAGATGACATGAACAGCAAGCCAAGCATATGGACACTTTAGAAATGAATGAGTGTTAACAGGTGAAGGGTTGTGAAAATTACAACTGTTTTCATCCAGACCTGTCCATCTGTTCTTTTATGAATATGGAAAATGTGGTGGTCTGAATAAGAATGGATACCATAGGCTCCTAGATTTGAATGCTTGCTCACCAGGGAGTGACTCTATTAGGAGGTGTGGCCTTACTGGAATAGGCCAGAACCAATTTTATTTTCTGGACCTTCTAAGATAGTATCACTGCAGGGCTTGGTGGTTTACATCTGTAATTCAAGCATTTGGGAACCTGGAAGGTGGAGGCAGAAGGATTTGATCTAGAGTTCAAAGACAACCTGGGGTACACAGAACATTTTAAGGCCAGCTTGCAGACAATCACACGCCAAAACAAAACTCAATCCATACAAACATTATCACATTGCAGGTGGTGGTTCATGCCTGTAACCTAGTACTTAGAAGGTCAGAAGGCATATTTGCCACCGATTTGAGGCCAGCTTGCATATCATGTGAGACCCAGCAAACAGTCACCTTCTGAGAAAACCCAAACCCCAAGCAAACAATAGAAGTGCTGCCTTCTATAAGCCTTGCTTTGTATTGCAGAGGATGCTGGAGGTGTTAAAGAAGGAGCTTCAGGTTCGGGAACTCTGTTGGGGGAAAATAAATAACAAGACAAGGAATCTGACACCCTCCTATGCTTCAGTTCCCTTGCATTATAAAGGTAACTGAAGGAGGCGGAAAATGATCACAGTAGCTTTGGTGATTCTAAGAAGAAATGCAGAGAGGAGTCCAGGAAGGGAAAATAAGAATGAGGGACAAGCCCAGATGAAAGGTGATAGACAGGTTTCTGAACCCATGAAAGGGAAAAAGGGGGCAGGTGGAAGAACACAGCCTCGAATAGAGGAAGGAAGGATAAGACTGGGGATGTGAGGCTGCTGGGCAGAGGTCTGATCTATCCACTTCTCTTTGTGTGTGTGTGTGTGTGTGTGTGTGTGTGTGTGTGTGTGTGTGTGTGTGTACTGTGTGTACGTGCATACACATGCACTGTGAGTAGATGATCACATTCATTGTAAATGGAAATTGAATACTGAAAAAGCTATGGAGCACTGGTGGCAGCACATTGGGTTGGTGTAAATACTTGTATCATACGACGTATACTTCCAGTGTGCTAAAAATGTGACATTTGCCAAATATTCCTTGGTGTCAGGTAAGGCACTAATTGTGCAGATATGCAAACACACACACATGCATGCCCATTCCATGAACACATTCTTAACACACATGTACATACCACTTTCTCTGGTATTTTTCCAGCCTGATACTCAGTCCCGCTTGTGGGCTTATCCAGGGCTTCCTCATAATTGTTGGCTTCTTTTGAAATCAATTTTTGTAATGCCTCTGCTACTTCATCTTCTAGAGTATGTGCCTGACTTTCAGTGATCTGTTATAAAGACACAAAGCATATATAACTGCACTGCCCATTCCTGGACATAAATAAACAAATAGACAGCTGAACTCTGGTTGAATCACTTCTTGGCCTTTTGGCTAAGATAAAATGCAAACCCCAGTTAAATATATAGGCACCATTCAAGCTTCCAAAGTGCAAGCTTCCAACAGTCCTACTCAGATATGACTCTTGTGAACTACATCAATGACCAGCATGGCACAATTAGCCTAAAGGTGTAGTAGTGGCATGCATACCTTCCCAGTAACCAACAGCTCTCTAATCAGACTTAACATCTGCTCAACAAAAGTGAAACTGAAAGGGGAGAACTAATAAAAGCCCAAAACTTGGACTCCAAAGCCCAAACAGGAAAACTCTTAAGTTTCTCTGAGTTCCCAAAAGGCAGCCCAACAAGATGAGGTTACATTCCTCTATTTCAAAGAGGATCAGATAGTTATCAACTCACAGTTGTAAAAATCCCCAGCCCAGGAGATAATTAATGACCCTGGCCCAGGAGGTAATTTACAAATTCATTTCCTCTGCAGCATCCCCCTTAATTGCCTGAAGCATACAAACATTATTCCATCCAGTGTAACTACCGAAGCTTTGTAATTCTGTGTAACCACAGAAGCTTTGTAATCTTGGGGCTTCTAGCCCTACTATTTTCCCTTATAAAAGCACCCCTCACTCAGAAGCAGGCACTCCATTTGTTTCCATATGAGTGGAGTCCTTGCTGCAGCTCGAATCTTCGAATCAATAAAGCAACCTTTGTCCTTGGCGCCGGAAATTTTGGGGTTCCACGATCTGGTCACAACAAAACCATGTCTGGTGTTGGAAACCAAGCCAACTACTCAGTGCTAGTGAATTCATGGATATTGGAGGAGAATCTATAACCTTTACTAAATGAGCATAAATGCTAACAACAACATAAACATTTGTCCTTTTACCCATATAGAGGTGTAGTCTTCACTCCTAGTCAAGGACAATTCTCTTTGCAACAGTGATGGGGAAGTCCTCTGTATATGTCAATAAAGCACTGTTGGCCAATAGGGAAGCAAGATAGGTGGGACTAGGAGTCCATGAGGACTCTGGGTAGGAGAAACACAGGGAGTCAAGATATAGCTGCCATAGGGGTAAGGAGTTCGGAACTTTTCTCCAGTAAGAGCAATACTTAGATTAACAACTATGGGGTAAATACTTAAGTCAGAGCTAGCCAGTAAGACACAAGAAAGGCCAACAGCTTCATAATTAATACAGCGTCTTGTGTGTTATTTGGGAACTACAACGCAGCAGAGCCCAGGCAACTGGTAGGGAAAAACCAAAGTGGCTGGCAAGGAAAAGGCTTCTCTACACAACAGTCAATCCTTTCTTATTCAGGCTGTGACAGTGACTGCCCAGCACTCTAGGAAGAAGTTGACTATTCATGCAAGTTATCAGTGCTTCTTGCTAAAAACCCTATGGATGCTTCCTTAGAGAGACACCTGGAGGGATGCTGTTCACATGGTCAGTTACATGACCCTTGTGATTGCAAAGTAAGAATTTCAGTAAAACCCGCCTGGGCTGTCAGGGCTGAGCAGCCAAGTTGAGACTGGGGAATATCCAGTTGCTCAGAGTTCCTCAAACATACACTGACGGTCTCTACTTGTGCTATTTCTGGTTTTGCCACATACAGCCTCTGCCTCTGCTTGTTATATCCTGACTTCCCTTCTAAGTTCTTTTCAAACACCTCTTCCTCTGAGTCTTTTCCTGACTTCCAACTGGCACACACCATTCTCTGGCAAGCTGCGCAACTCCTGTGACTCTCAAACAGTTTGTGTGATGGGTGTGTGTGCCTATCTGGCTCTTCTGATAAACTCAAAGGAATCCTTTGGGGGCCTAGTACAAAGCAGGTGCCCCATATACATTATGCTACTTGGATTATGAAGCTTGACTTCATAGGACACTGCAGACTTACTAAGAACCAAGTTTGCTCTCATGCCAACAACTTACTAGGCCAAGATTCAGCAGTTTAGAAACAATCTTATCAAATACTCCTCTGTCGTTCTCCTCATAAATCCTGGTAGCAATTTTGTGGACAATGTCTTCAGCAGTTAAGGGAGTTCCATCCAGTTGATGAAGGCCATCTGGGTCATCTAGACGGAGCAAGCACAGCTTCTTATCATGGCAAGAACACACACCTGTTCTACACATCATATTATAACCTATACATTTTGAAATACTTAATTTTTTTATTATACATTTATCATTCATCCATTTAGAGATAGTATCTTACAGTGTCACCCTGGCTGGGAACTTTCAGCAATTCTCCTGCTTCTGCCTCTTGAGTGCTGAAATTACAGGCGTGTACTGCCATGCCTGGCTGCTAGGGTACCTCTGGCTAACAAAGCTTCATAGTAAAGCTTAGTAACAATAATAAACCCTGATCTCCAAAAGAAAGGAAACTTATTTTATGAACTTGGGATAAAAATATTAAAATACAGCAAGAGATCTACATAAATAACATGCACATTTTGCAGAGAAGCCTGTGAATGTATGTTCTTAGTTTTCTTGGGAATTAATTTGGCAGCGTAACTTCAGACTAAAGCAAGGGACCATTCTGAGTGAGGAAAGGGGCTGTGAGTGATGGTTTACTTCTGCAATCCTAGCACTTGGGAGACTGAGGCAAGGGGACTGCCATGAGTTTGAGGCTAGGCTGAGCTATACAGAGAGAGAGAGAGAGAGAGAGAGAGAGAGAGAGAGAGAGAGAGAGAGAGAGAGAGAGATTCTGTCTCAAGCAAAACAAACTCAAACTCTAAACAACAACAAGAAAAACAATGCTGACAATGACAACAAATAATGTGAGGGAGAAAGGGGATGAGAGCAATGAAGCCTTGCTCCATCTACACAAGAATGGCAGATATTTATACCACACTGAATAGACTCAACGTACAAACTGTTTAGCTCTCCCCATCACGTAGAGGCAAACGGGAAGGATCAGTGGTTTAACAACCACTATACAACCTTGGATCACTGTACAAAATAATAAGGGTATTGGGCTCTGTGATTGGTTCAATGGTAGAGTGCTTGCTTAGTATTTGTAAAGTCCTAGGTTAGAGTTCCAGTACTGAAAACAAAACAGTGAAACAAACAAACATGAATAATAAGGATATCTATTCAATTTGATTGTAATGGAGTTATAATGAAATAAGATGTTAGATATACCTATTAAATAATATAGTAGTATATGGAAGAGTGTACTATTGTAATTATGCATAGCGGATTTAAATTTTTAAATAAAGGAATTGTGATTATCTTCTGGAGAAAACCAGAAATTGAATTCCTTGCCTGAGATGTTATGAATAATGCTCTTTTGTTCTTTTGAGACAGGGCATCATTGTGTGTAGGCTGGCTTTGAACTCACAAAGATCTGCTTGCTTCTGCCTCCAGAGTGCTAAGATTAAATGCATGTACCATTATGCCCTGCACTATGAATGTAATCTTTACCACTTTCCCTCAAAGGAAGGACACCTTATTTCTATCCCAATTCTGCCCCTTTCTTCCAAGGTTTTGGGGCATTTGGCCGGGGAGTTTCTCCCATGACATGACCTTTCTTCTAGATTGTTGGAATGGTGGCACCTGCAGCCTCAGGCAGACACTTTCTCCTGCCTTTGGACACAGGCTTATTAAGATGCGTGGTGATTATACACAAAGGCTGAGTCTTTGCTCAGCTGCGAGCCCTTTGAGACCCAAGTGCCAGAGTGACAAGCGTCATAAAATTAGTTCCCCTCTTGTCTGGTTGGAAGTTGAGTTCTTCATCTATTTCTCAGGAGCACAGCCTCTCTAGAGCTTCGGTCTGAATTTTCCATTTGTGGGTTGCAAGTCAGGCACTGGGGACTAGTCTTCCATCTATGCAGAGGTGGAGGAATTTACTTCCCTCCCCACTTCTCCCCCAGGATCTGAGAAAGAAAGAATGTTGGCTGCCTGCTGAAGCTGGAAAAGAACCCACATGACTGTTTTTCAGCTCATTTACTTCCCAATGGGGAGAACGCTGGCGACTCAGAAGAGATGTCTTCCTCCTCTGCTGCGCTGCTGCTGGCTCTTTAGCCCGGAACTCAGCTCTCCCACAGTGGAACTCAGTGAGCTGCAGCTAAAAGCGAAGCACTTGGCCACTGCCCTTACTGTCCATCAGTTTTCCCCAAGCTCTTTGAAAATGAGAAGAATATCTCATGGTGATTTCCCAGCTATGCACAAAGGAGTGTTTTATGCTCCTTGTGCGAAGCCTCAGAAAGAAGCCAGCATGGATTTAAATTTAAAAATTTTAGGCAGTAACAGTGCTCTATATGGACATCAAAGGACTGTGCCCTGTCGTTATCTTCCCTGTTATATATTCTACCCCTAGTATCTCATTGAATACCTAGAATTCATTTCTTCAGCAAAATTAAAACCTTATTATGTGCCACCCACCAGAGGTAGGGTGATGGCTGCATCTAGATATCTCATTTAACACTTGGAATTCATTTCTTCAGTCAAATTGAGCTCAAGTCTTACTATCTGCTAGACACTGGTGGAGTAATGATTGGGTTCAGCACGGTCCCTGGATGCACAGAGCTGACTATCTACTTCATAGTCTGCAACGTAGGAATTCTATGATAAATTTCTCCTATGGAACACACAGAGGAGCCTAAAGCAAAATCACATAAAGAGAAACTGGCAAGAACTTTGAATTTGGAGCTGAGGACCCAGCCTTCCAAAGACACTCTCCCTCACTTTGCCTCCTGGATGGAGCCTGCACAACTTGGATGTTCTATTTGGACGCCTGGGTGGGGTCCGACTCTCTGGCTTTCTGGCTCCAGGATTTGCAGACTCTGAAAGGAAATTAGACATTCACCCATAAAACATTCTCTCTAAGACTTTTGACTCAGTCTCCCTAGGATCTCAAGTAAAGCTAAAGTAAATCCTGGGATAAGCCTAAAGCCAAGAGGACTAGCCCTATAGTTTTAAACCTATGAGCTGCTCAAATTAGTGTTCAAGTCACAAACAAATCCATGTCTCCGCTGGTGCAAACCACCAATGTGACAAATCAAGTCCAACAAATATCACATTCTTTTTTACTTTATTAAACCAAATGTTCTATTCAACAAGAATGATTAGACTGATTTTTTAAATGCAGTTATTCCCAGTGTCTATTTGCTTCTGGTCCGCATACCTTAGGCTAGAGAGTAGAATTCAAGATTTAAATTCCCCAAGCGGCAAAACGTAAGCCATTGCCTCTATCCACTCACCACATATGACACACTTTAAAACTCTCCCCAGGCTATGATGCTCTGTGAAAATCCCATTTAATTGAGATTCCTCCCCCAAGATAATCAGCATAATTCTCTCGTTGCCATGAAACAAAATAAGGACACAGAGAAAAAAGAAAGCCTGTACTCACTTCTAAGCACTCATCTGCAGAATTGAAAATACTGTCACTTCCTCAAGGCCTACTAATGTCAGTCTACTTATTCCCTCTCCCTCACACATTCATCCATTTCTTCACTTATTTATAGAACCATACAATGAATTAATGACTATTCAGGCACCAGCCAATAAGGTCTCTGTTCTTGTGAGCTTTTCAGTGTCATGTTGGATAAAGACAATCATAAGTGTTTACAGTTACAAATTAGAAGTTCAAATTACAAGAAGTGCAGTGAAGGCAAGGGGCAGAGTGTCTATCAGATCATGCACACTAGACACAGCCAGATGTGTTTGATAATAACTATGAAGACAGGAACCATATGAAGGATTTTGGTTTTGGTCCTAAGAGAAATGAGGATCTACTAAAAGAGATTTATGGGAAATAAAGAAGGCATGCTCTGGTCATCACCTGAAATCCCAGCACAAGAACCTCATGATCCAGGCTAGCCTGAGCTACATGCAAGATCTTAGCTAAACAAACAAACAACAAACCAAAACAAAAACATAATGGCATGCTAATCATGGTGGCAAATGTTTGCAATCCCAGCAGTCAGAAAACTGAGGCAGGAGGATCATGAGTTAAGACCAGCTTGGACTATATAGGAAATACTGTTGCAAAAAAAAATCCTAAGGGCTCTGTGGTTGTAGCTCAGTGATAGAGTGATTAACTGCTTAGCATGCAGTGTCCCCCACCCCCAGTTTGATACTGAGAGACCCCTTCAATGAACTGCATGCACGTACTTCAATATTTTATATTTGTAAATTAAAAGTCCACTCTAGCTATCACATCATTTAAAGGTTGAAAAAACCTGGAGTGGTTGCTGGGAGACCTGTGAAAGATTTTGTTGTAGTTCAAATGAGATGTGAGATGGGATTGGGTATTTGATAGGGATAGAGGTGATTGAGAGCAGCACTTTTTGTTTGTTTTTGTTTTGTTTGTAAAAAACATGGGAAGCAAAATGATTAATTTTTGGAAGATTAGTGTTGAAGAGGTGAGAAAAAATAAGAGAAATGTTCAACCCTAGATTTCTGTCTTGAAGAAAAAAAGGGGTAAATAGCAAAAAGGGAACGATCTTTTGAAGAGGACTTATGAGGAAGAAAGAGGTAATGAGTTAACTCTGGAACACAACAAATTTTCTGTGCACCTGAAACTTCCAAGGCAAAATGGGTAGGGAGAAATAAATAGATCGCCTGGAGGAGTCTGGGTTAAGATGGAGATGTAGAATGGCTAGATGAACAAAGGCAAGAGGAGGAAACTATCAACAAGAAAATAGTGGACATTGCACCAATGTGGTGGGGGGGCAAATTTATAATCTAACTATTTGAAGAAATAGCATTTTACTGGTACTAGCTATTAAAATAAGTGGAAATAGTAAAATGGATTTAATAATAATGTAAATACAGATGCCAGGTTTTAAAAAATTTCAAAGCATCAGTAAGGAAGCTAATCACTGTTGTCACTTTTATTGCCTTTTTTTTATGGAGTCTGGCTGGCCTGGTACTTTATGTAGCCCAGACTAGACTCGATCTTGTGACAGTTCTCTGGCTTCGGCACATTGGGTGTTGGGACAACAGGCATGAGACACCACACCTGTTTTAGTAAAGAAAACTTTAAAGGGAGGAGTTGAGACTCTAGAGTGGGGCTTTTTTACATTATCAGTAAATCTTAGCTTTACCTCAGCTTTGGACTGGACCAATGAAAGCTTATGAGCATATTAGATAAATTTTGAAAGTATGTGACCATTTTGAAAGTATGTGACCTTTTCTTAATGAAAAACTCAGAATGAGAAAGCAAAAAGCTGTAGCAAAGCATCTTTTAAATCGTTTACCTTGAAATTTATAGTCCAGCCCACTCTTTGTAGAATCATACTCATCATTCAGTTTTCGATTTTTAGTTGAGTCAACATCTTCCACATTCAACTTGTTGCCAAATGGGGAGCTTCTTATGGATTGTTTTTCTTCCTCAAGTTTTTCCTTTTCTGTTATTGCCCTTAGCAGGTTCAAGTTATCGATAGAAGAATAATTGCTCTCATTTTGCTTGCTTTCTGGAAGAAAAGTTCCAAGCCCAACACACCCATTTTAGTTTAGAATCCTGCGACCTACATTTTTTAACTGAACAGCAGTGTGATTTCCTTTTACCTGGAGGGTATGTCTTTTTAATCTTGTCTGCCTCTGCCTCAGCAATCTGTGAAACAAAAAGGAGACAGGCCTCTTTTTAAACCACTGCTTCACTTACTAAGTATACAAGCCAAATGGTTTAGTCTCTATGAGATTCACATTTGTTTGTAAAATGTAGGTAAAAAGTACCACTACAAGGATTAAATGAGCTAAAACAAAGGGTTTTTAGGCTACCCAGGAAGACTCTGTCTCAAACAAAACAACAAAACAAACCACACACACACACACACACACATACACACTTTCGTAAATTAAACAATTTTCTAAGAGTGGATACAGTATTGATCTCGCTGGGTTATCATCATGTGGGCACTCTAGATATTATACAGAACTCAATGTACATAACCTTGACAGCATATAATTGTTGAAACTAGATTCTCATCTTAATTTTGTCAATTTATTATTAATCCCCCAGAGTTTATAAATTCAAAATGGTTAAAATATCACATGAAACAATAAGTGATAATGAGAATAATATGACATATCAGTTATAATTTTATAATCAACCTACCTGTTCATTCAAAGGTCTTTCTGCACTTAATTCTCTATTATGCAGAGATTTGTCTAGAATAAATACACACAAATATAAATTTAATTGTGTATTTGGGTGGTAAAATGTATTTCTCATTAAAATAAAAAGATCAGTGAAAAATTTTGGAGAAATAACTCTTGGTGGTTATGAAATAAAACTTATATTAGCAAAGATTATCAGTTATATACATGATGAGTACCAATGTTGGCATGCTTATTATATTACTGCATTTCCTGAGTTAAATGCAATCACACTTTTGTTTTCTGATCAGAAATTTAACAGATAGCTCTAATTCTTTGCTTATTAACTCTTTTCAATTAGAAATATAAAACTTTATTACCATTGCTGTCACATTAAAAGAGATCACAGTATCCTGCTTGTGTAATGAGTAGATCATCTCAGGAAAAAAAATTCCAAGTCACTTTAAGAACAGGCGCTCGCTCCCTTTTCCAAAATAAGATCCTTATAAAAAGCCCATGTTATTTCTCTATTATTTAAAAAGTGAAGGAGAAAAATCCATCTTCGTTCTCTGAATTCAAAGCGGTTCTGTCAATTTGCAGGGGTAAGACCTGGCTAGAAAAACTAGGCAAGGCGATTTAGAGCTCACAGGGCACACCAAGCTTGCTGGGCCAAATGAAAGAGATCTCGGAAGTAGAGAAATGTTCACTTACCTTGGCTGACTTCGGGTTTGGGGAAAGCTTGAATTGGGCCGCTATTAAGCACCAACACTAGTATCCAAGATCCGGTCCAAAGAAACCCCATTCTTCCTTGCTCCTCTGCTCTCTGCTGGGAAGAGCCTGGCCCTGGGCCCCTGAGCTGTAGCTTTTGTTATGAATGAGAAGGGGAGTAAGACGCTGGCAAGGACAGGAAGGAGCCTGAGCGCCCGGAGGGAGATGAAGCTGGGCGGCCAGTAGTTGTGCCTGGTTGGAGAGGATGCTCCCAGTTCAGGTGAGCAGGTGCAGCGGGCGCTGTCCACTCCTAGGGTGCTGAAGTTCCTGCGCGGGCAGACGCGGGCCTGGGCGTAGCTTTACTCCACTAGCTCCTAGAGAGGAAGTGAGGAGGAGGCGCATGCTCCATGCAAACCAGGAGCATGAGGATGGCGTCAGCGACCCAGAGCTACTCCAATCCCGCGGGAACGGAGAGGGGAAGGGGAGGCAGGCAGGCTAGCGTATTTTCCATGCCGCAGTCCTGGGCATATTCCTATGTCCGAGTCCCGCAGGACTGCAGGACGCTAGGCATGGTTGTTGTACCTCAAGGACTAAATGCCCTCTCTACCCGTGAACCTGTCAAGGAGAAAAGGATAATCTTGTCTGATTTTGACTTGCGATTCTTCTGCAGTATCCTCTCCAAAATCACTTCCTTCTATACTCAAAAGGTACAATTCTATCACTCCTATATAATTATACTCAAAAGATATAATCCTATTAAACCTTAGAAAGTCCGGCTTTTATTGATCAGTGTTGACATTCTCTTGATGCTTTTGCATCTCAGCTCCACAGGAGTCTTTTAGTTGGGAAATTGTATGAATACTGTTTCAAATAGATTTTGCATATAACTTCACTCTCACAGATGGTGAGACAAAGAAGAAAACATATTGTTGTCCTTCTAGGAGTGAGACTCCTCAGTAGTCAGGGAGATGAGCAGAAATACTCAGTTTTGTTCTCTTTCTCCCAACCAAGTAGGAAAAAATAGTTTGCTTTTGTGACGTTCTTCCCCGGGTTATACCTGATGATCTTGATGTTCTGGGAGTCCTTTGAGAAAAGCGAGAGCCATGAAAACTATTCCTCTCCCACAGGGGTGCTTCCTATACTTATCCCAGAAGCCTGAGGTCATTGCATACAGCTTACTATCCAAAGATTTTTAAGTGGTGAATACAAACAGCGTACTGTGAACAGGGTGCTGAGAAAGCTCTTTAGTCTAATTTCAAAGCCGAGCTTGGATCTTTTCCTTCCGACTGCAGCATGCTGGGAACACAGCTGAATAATGACCACAAAGAAGGATCCAGCACAATCAGGCCTTTGATTTCTGCATTATTTAAATACCCCAAACAAACAAACAAACCAATCAACTCACTTACAAACAAATTGCTCTCTTTCTGGAGGCTTTGCATTTAATGGTCTTGCAAGTATTTCCATGTGAATCTTTTTTTTAAATGATACATAAAATCTGAAGTTACAGAATGTTTCCAAAATCTAGAAGTTACTTAAAACCAAACATCTCTTTCTTAATGGCATGTATAACATGGCATTAGTATCCTGGCTTGCTTCTGATAATGAGATTGATGACTACTTTATATACCATCCTAGAGTCTTCATCCAGTAGCTGATGGAAGCAGAAGCAAACACCCACGGCTAAACACTCAGCTGAACTCTGGAATCCAGTTGTAGAGAGGGAGGAGTGACAAGTAAAGGAATCAAGACCAGGCTGCAGAAACACACAGAAACAACTGACCTGAGCAAGGGGGAAGCTTATGGATGCCAGACTGATAGCTGGGAAACCAGCATAGGACTGATCCAGACCCCCTGAAAAATGATGTGAGTTTGGAGGTCTGGTTAATCTGTGGGGCCTCTGGTATTTATCCCTAGCACACAAATGGACTTTGGGAGCCCACTTCACATAGAGGGATACTCTCTCAGCCTAGACACACGGGGGAGGGCCTGCTCCAAATGATATGACAGACTGAAGATTCCCTATGGAAGGCCTCACCCTCCCTGGAGAGCAGAAAGGGCATGAGATAGGGGGTCAGTAGGGGGCAGGGAAGGAGGGGAGGGAGAAGGAACTGAAAAAGAAGCTTGTTTCTAATTTAAATTTAAAAAAAGAGGGGAAAAAGAAAAAAAAGTATCTTGGCATGCTGCAGTCTTAAAAATTAGTGCAGGGGCTAGAGAGATGGTTCAGTGGGCAAGAGTATAGGCTGCTCTTGTAGAAGACCCAGCACCCACATAAGTGCAGCCCACAACTGCCTGTAACTGCAGCCTCAGGGGATCTGACATCATCTCCTGGCCTCTGTGAACAACTCATGTACACATACCTCTACATAGAGACTCACCCACATAATAATTAAAGTTTTGTTTAAATATTTTTAAAAAATTGGCTCATATTTTCAAATCACAGCTGTGTGAGGAGTAATTTCTTTAGATGCTGTTTCTTTCTTTTTTTTTCCAGAGCTGAGGACCGAACCCAGGGCCTTGCGCTCTACCACTGAGCTTTGTTAGCTGCCATATCTATCCCATTTGCTATTGTACTAGATGGGCACTTAACCTTGGAACATGAGATGTTTTGGATCAGCTGAGTTATGGAGCAGGAAAGAACTATACAGTGTGTATTCATTTACATCCTTTAGTCTTATTAGACATGATAATACTGGAAAAGCATAGATCTGTAAATGGAGTAATCCTAATTTAATTTAGTCATTTAATTTAACAGATATATATTGAGCACTTGGGATGTAGGAATGTACCAGGCCTTAAGATAGCTGTTTGTATAAAAAGAGAAGATAACATTGGTCACTGCTGGTCTCTTGCCTAGTAAAGAGAAAAAATAAAGAAACAAAATACCCCCTAAAACAAAAACAAACTGTAGTGAAACCAACAACAAAATAACTACATAGTAGACTAGCTTCATGTACAACACGACATTTTTAGTTAAGTATAAGTGAGCAAGCAATCGTAGATGTTTGTTACTGGTTTCCTTTGTATGTATAGAGCTTAAATGGAGTCCAAATAATGGAATTAATGACCAGGCAAGGTGTGGTGGTATGAATAAAAATGGCCCCCATAGGCCTGTAGGAAGTGGCTCTATTAAGAGGAGTGGCCTTGTTGGTGTAGGTGTGGCCTTGTTGAAGGAAGTGTGTTACTGGGCAGGCCTAGTGGCTCACTCTTTCTTCCTGCTGCTGCCAATCCAGATGTAGAACTCTCAGCTACCTCTCCAGCACCATGTCTGCCTGCATGCCACCATGCTTCCCACCATGATGGCAATGGACTAAATCTATGAACTGTAAGCCAGCCCCAGTCAAATGTTTTCCTTTATAAGAGTTGCTGTGGTCATGGTGTCTCTTCACAGCAATAGAAACCCTAACCAAGACACAAAGCTTGAAAGAAAACTTTAATATTTTGTTAATATTAAGAGAGATTAAAGTCTGTATTCTTATATGCAGACATGTAAACATTCAATATTTTAAAAGTGTTTTGGATTTATAAGAGAGCAGTACTGACCCAGATAATCATGAAAAGAGATGGTAAGAATAGTACAGCACACAGTGAGTCTGTTACTGTGGTCTGTGTACGTCTTTCAGCACATAAGTAGACAAACTGTCACATGAGAAGATGTTTTCTGAGCTGAGAGTCTTGAAGATGGAGATATCTGCCTAATCTGGTGGCACACACCTCTAATCCCAGTACTCAGGAGATGGGAATAGTAGAGTCAGGAGTTCAAGACTAGCTTTATTACGCTGCAAGTACAAGGCCAGCCTGGATGACATGAAACCTTGTTTCAAAACGTAAACAAGCAGCATAATAATGGATAGGAACAACTAGAAGGTATGCCCACTTGTTACACAAAAAGTATGATATTAATTATTATTACTAAGGGACTGTTATATTGACCATTATTATGCATTTTATTACAGAAGATGTCAAATATAAAAGTAAACAATATTTGAAAACGAACACCATGAATCTGTTGTGCAACTTCATTAATTATAAACCCACAGCTTCGAACTCAAGAAAGCCAGTAACAGAGAGGGAGGACTGATGATCAAAGGGATTAAGACTGGGCTGGTTTAACCCCCAGAAACAGCTGACCAGACAAAGGTTAACTCTTGAATCCCAGGCATCAGCCTGGGAATCCAGCATGGGACTGATCAAGACCCCCTGAATCTGGGTGTCAGTGAGGAGGCCTAGGGAATCTATTGAGTCTTGGGCAGCAGATCAGTACCCATCCCAAGTATACACACGGACTTTGGACTCCCATAGAACAATGTGAGGTGCACTCTCACCCTGAACTCTTGGGGAAGGGTCTAGGCCCTGCCCTATATGAAATGACAGACTATGGACACCCCCATGGAGGGCCTCACCCTCCCTGGGGGAACGAGGGGATAACGGGGGGGTGGGGAGGGCACAGGAGGAGGGGAGGGAAAGGGAGAGGGACCTGGAACTGACATGTGAAGCAACCTCGTTTCTTATCTAAATTTAAACTGGAAAATAAAAAATATATATAAAAAATAAACCCACAGCTTCTTGATATTTAAATTCCCAGTAACATAATGAATTAATTACCCATAAAAGACATAGACTTCATTTTATTTCATTCATAAATATAGTAGTGCATTTATCTAAAAGACAAAAATTATGTTTCCAACACTATTGTAGCATTTTAAACAAACCTCGCAACAATAATACTGTTTTAGTGTCATCAAATATCCAGAGTTTAAATTTCCTGATTTTCCTTATAAGTTGGCTTGCTTGGACCAGGATCCAAGTAAGAGTCTTTATTATATTTGATTGCATGCGGTAGGGGAAACTTTCTAAATATGCAAATAAACAAAAATGGGGCAGTAAAAATTTTGTGACTATCACCCATTTATCTGATAGAAGTAGCAATAGGTAAGTAGGACACTTTTTTCTAAGAAAATATTTTATATGAATGTTTGTAAACCTGTGCCTATGACTGTAAATGTATATTTGCATATCTGTCTTGTCTATTCAACAAACTATGTTTTTATAAAGGAAAAGATATTGCCGAAGGTACTGGTGATTTCCCAGTGGTTTTTTTTATATATAGTTTCTGGAAATACACTTGTTTAAATAAATTAATGAAGTGATAGAGTGTTGCCTACTTATTACTGGTATCAAAATGCTGAAACTATGCCGATTGTCCCAGCTCAGCATGATCCTTTACTCATATTTTCATTAAGAAGGAGTATTCTTTTCTAGGAGATATTCATGAAAGGTCCTAAAATAGAGTCTGAGCTGTTAAGACACTCAAAATTGCAGAGCGATGGGAATGGATCTGTTGCTGTGAGAGGAAATGACCAGTGTGCTCACTCTTGAGATGGCTAATGGTCC